CGGCCGGAGGCGGCCGAGGGTGACGGCGGCGCGGTGGCGAGGGCGCGGCCCTGCCAGGTGGCGAGGTGCGGGCCCAGGAGCTTCATCATCTTGGAGGCGTAGCCGTTGCGCGGTAGCGGGGCTCGGTGAAGACGGAGGCGATGCCGTGGGTGACGCCCTCGCGGACGGTGCCGTCGGGGCTCGCGACGAGGCAGCGCTTGCGGATGGACTCGCAGGAGGAGAGCACAGGGCGGGCGCCGGGGCCGGCCGAGGGGTCGGTGAGGATCCAGTGCGTGATGCCGCCGTTGCGCGACTGCGGCACCGTCGTCAGGAAGTGCTCACGGCGGTGGTAGACGTCTAGGTCGAGGGCGGCGCCCCAGTGGGGGTGCGTGGCCGTCCACGTCGCCGTGCGCTCGTCCGGCGTTGGAATGGCGAGGGCGAGCTCGGGGGCCTCTGCGTGAGATCCCATGTTGTTTCAACTACTGTGCTTTTTTTTTTTTTTTTTTTTTTTTTCCCTGAAAGACTATGGGCGGTTGAGGGTTGAAGTGGTCACTTTGGGTGATGAGTGATGAGTGAGGAGTGAGGAGTGAGGAGTGAGGAGTGATGAGGCTGAGTGCGTGAGGCTCTCGGCTTTCTGGTGATGGAACCCTTTTAGGCGAATGAGACGAAGGTGGGCGGGCGAGCGAGCGTGCGAGCCAAGCGAAGTCTGGGGTAAATGGGGCTTATAAGCGCCAGACGAGTCAATGAACGAACCCCCCCCAAGTTCCATTTTCTTTTCTTCCTTTCGTCGTCTTCTCCTTTTCCCCATTTTCCACGCCCTACGCACGCCCTCCAGCTCGAGACTGGCGAGGATAGCGAGAGACGACCCCACCACCCCCCTCAACATTGACCTGACCTGCCTTATCCTGCTTCACTCGGTGCGAATCATGCGTTGCGTCAATGCTTGTTTCTCTGGCGGGTGGTCCCTTGGCCCCCGCGCGTTCCAGGTTTCGACAGAGCCGTCTCGCTTCCTCTGCGACCACGCCCCCTCCCTCTCGTTGACTTTTTGTGTTTTTTTTTTCGTGACGTCTCACCAGAGCAGGTCAGCAGGCCGCTCTGGAGCCGCGCCGTACCATGTACTTTTACGTCATTGGATCGAGGGGCCATGTCGTGGCTCTGGCGCGCGACAGGCCAGGAGCCGAAACCAAGAAGACAGGCGGTCCGCCGCTTGTTAGGTAATTAGTTCGATGACCCGGATGGAAGGGGGTCCAGAGCGGTCACCAAGTGCGAAGAGGAGAGAAAGAAACAGCCGACATGCTACAGAGAGTGGTAAGGGCACAGGGGAGCAGCTAGCATGGGCCGCCTGTCACGGGTGCGCCGGCGGCGTTTCCCCTCATGCTCGTGCGGGCGCGGGGTCGTATCGGCGCCGGCTGAGCCGACGGTAGGCGGGGGTTCACTCGGCCGGCGCCATCCGTTTGTGTGAGGGATGCGATGCGGGGTTGTTGAACACGTTGGCCGTACAGGCGTTGAGGCCCCTCGAGCCGATCTGTGGGAGGCCATGCCAGGATGCCATGCCATCCGTCGAGGGCTTGAGGGTGGTGCTACCAAGTGCTGGCCGCCCAGAGGGCCAGGCGAGAGCAGTGTGACGTTGTTGTGTCTCTCGATATGCTTTCTCTTTCTCTGCAGCGCCCGGCGCTGACGCTGTGCGACCTGGTGGCCATGAGCCACGCATCGCCATGATCGCGCGTGATTCGTCTGATAGCATGCATACGTCAGATATGGTAGTGAAGTGCTGGTGGAGCATGCATCTCTGTTCGGTCTGCTTGTAGTCTTGCCAAGAGAATCAATCTTCTGCGATTCGATCCTCTGAGACCCGGGTCTCTGAGACCCGGGTTCAGCCTCATTCTCCCTCCGTGATCTGTCTGCCCATGATCCATCTGTCCACGATCCATCTGCCCATGCTATCACCCGCATACGCATGCCGCCGTCATTTCGCACCATGGTTCCCACCCAGATGAATGCCGTCCTCGACCGCTACTCGCGAGATGGACTCGGCAGAAACACCTTGTCCGTGCTTCCCTGCTCGTCAGCATCCCGATAGCCCGATGGCGGCTCCATCCCGCCCGCCTCCGCATCGACTCCATGCCAAGATGGAACGACAACGCGCACCGGCGGTTCGTTCGTGTCGGCATCGTGGAAGTACTGAATCGCGTCCCCGCTGGGCGTCGTCATTCTGAGGCGGTACACCTCGTTCGCGGCTCGTCCCATGAGTGCGATGCGCACGACGCTGCCGAGGTCAGCTTTTTTTGTACATTGAAACAACAAGAAAAAGAAAAAAAAAGCCACGTCATGTGTTGTTGAAACGGCTGCTGCCGCGCAAAGGGGGGGGGGGGGGGGAAAAGAGGGAAGCACACTCACATGGCGATCCCATGCACGGAACCGGCCACCCCTTGCCCCCCCGGCCGAACCAGTTGGGGCGCCCAGTAGCCCCCCGA